TAAAATGTGCATATTAAACTAGTGGATAATGCAGCATATAGTATGCTATTGGGTCCCACCATTTTCAGCACAGAGTATGAATATAGACGTAAGAAAATTACTATTAAAAAATAATAAGTTTGAACTTATATTTCCAAAAGTGTAATAGGTGCAATGGTAAGAACCAAACGTTAAACCCGTAAAATTTATATCCTGAATTCACTTCTTCGTAATAGTGCATTCATCTTCCCAAAATTCTGGATCCACCTCCGACTATTCCTAATAGAAATTAAATAGTAGGAGTTTTTTGTGAAGCTTCTTCTTAAATGTTCTACTCCAGCTAAAAGTAAAGGTGGATATATGAAGCTACAAAGAAAGAGTCTGCATATCTCAATTGAATTGAATCATTGCTCCAAAGCACAAATACAAACGTCCCTCTCGCTCTTCTATGCCAAAGAAAAAGGACCCTATTGATTGAATTTCTTTTTCTATTTTATTTTCTACGGAGGTTGACAAAATCTTCGTCCAACAAAATATTTCTCAGTTCTTTTATATGATTATATTGTTCGAGTTAGCTCGTTCCATCTCAACTATTTTATTGGAGACTTAGGCATATAAAAATTAATGACCTAATGATTTTTGCCTCTAGTGTTCTTATTTGAACTTGAAATTTCATAATTTCTATCTCACTTTATTGACCACTAGGTACACTTTTAGATTAAAATATTTCTCAGTTTTCAACAGATTGAATTAAAAAAGAACCTAAACAAGATGCACCACTCAACAAATTACGAGACTGTTTATTTGAATCGTTAAATATATTAAAGACTAAAAGCAAGGTAATATCTGAGTAATTTCTTTGTCACTAACAACTACTTGACTTTACTGTAATTGAAGATAATAACCAATCAAAAGCGCTACAGTCTATTTTGCACCTTATATTTTCTTTGTGCATGCCATGAAAACATAAGTGGGCCTAGAAATAACACGGAATGTGTCTTTTTCCAATTTGAAGTTTATTAAGATTTAAGTCTTTTCTATTTAAATTTATAAGAAGTGATGTATTGAAAAGTACTAAATAGTAATAAAAAAGAGCTTTCTACATTTGCAGAGGAAGAATATGATGCCATGGATTTAATTAATTGTATGAAAGAAGAAAAAGGAAATTGTATGAATTTATTGTGGTCGCTGTAGTAAGACTAAGTTATAAATAGGAGACAAGAATTAAATAAATGTCATTCCAAAAATGAAAAGTTTCTTAAAAGACGGGCTCTACTCCGTACAACTATTAGTATCGGATAATGGAGCATTATATATGGATATGGTAGGGTTTCACTGAGTATTACTTCCGGGGCATAAACTCATGCTCCCCTCCCTTGATCATATATAATATTGGAAGGTGAGATTATGAGTTCAAATTTTATGTCAATTTTATTATTTTTTTCTTCTTCTTTTTCTCTAAAACTAGGCGTCACATGATGCGAATTAATTAAGTACATTTCGTTTTCTTTCTTTCTTTTTGATTTATTCTTTCAAAATTTTCACATATTAAAATTCTTATCTTTTGTTCGTCACCGAAAAATCTTATATGATTAAATAAAATGTGCATATTAAACTAGTGGTAATGCAGCATATAGTATGCTATTGGGTTCAACTGATTCCAACATTTCCAGCACGGATTATGGATATATATGTAAGAAAATTACTATTAAAATAAATAATTTTAAACTTATAATTCCAAAAGCGTAATGGGTGTAATAATAAGAACCAAACGTTGAACCCGTAAAATTTATATTCTGAATTCACCTCTTTGTAACGGTGCACCCATCTTCCCAAAATCCTAGATACGTCTTCGATTACGTCTCCTATCTAAACTTCATACAAAAGAATCAACTAGAGTAATTAATTAAAGGCCAAATACATATCCAGCCCCTTGAAGAAGATGCCACAGACTCGGTGTTAATGTTTTGAAAAGAATAAGAAAACTATATGTGAAAATTTGTTGTTGTGGCAAGAGAACAATAGATGATATTTTCAACAAAGTTATAACAATTATTGCTATTGAAAAAGTTTGTATGGTTGGGCTCTACTCCATAGAATTATTGGCGTTGGACCTGGTCAACTGATACATACTGTAACATTAAATGTGGAAGGAAACTTCTTCTTTGAACTTTAACAACGAAGCAGGAAATTCCTTCAAAATTTCACAATAATATGTACAAAAGGGACAGCTAAAAGTACAAGCCGATATATGAAGCTACAAAGAAAACGAAGGGTAATATATAGTAATTTCCTTTGTCACAAAGACAACATTTGCACTAATCAAAAGCAGTACTATGGTCCTATTTTTCTTTGTGCAGATAGAAAGTGACAACAAATGTAGGTCCACAAATATGAAGGAATGTTACTTTTCTCATAAACTTTATATACAAGAATCAAGTAATGTAATTAATTAAAACAAAAAAGATGGAAAAAAAATAATTAAAACAAAAATTACTTTTGTAACGTCCATGTTGATGACTTGAAATCTATATCGTCACTTTTTCCTTTTGGGAAGAAGAAGCAATTTTGATATATGCATTATATCCTTTGTCGCTCTGTTGCCCATTTTCAGAAACCCCAATAAATTCAGACCGTTAAATACAATTGAATCCCGCAATTAAATTTATTAAGAAAACATTACTCCCTCGGGTTCACTTTAATTGATTTTTTTAACTTTTTTTGTGATCTACAATATTTGACTTTTCTTCATATCAAGAATGAATTAACTTTTCTTTTCCAAAGTTGCCCTTGGAGTAAAAGTCTAGGAGTGTTTGTTATATTTTCAACGAACAAATTAAGGTTAATATAGTCAATTTTATTATTAATTAATGCTAAAAGATGAATCACTTAATATGTGTGAAAACAACCAAAAACATCAATTAAAGTGGACCGGAGGAGTAGTATTAAGTAGTAGCTGTAATTTACTTGACTGTTTAATGCTAGTATTGGATAGCGAGTACCTACTATTAATCTCTTCAATAGCAAGAGTAAATTTGAAAGAAAATAATGATTCTGTTAAATTTTTTAAAACACAGATATTTTGAAACATTTTTTGGGCAAAAACAACATTTAAAATTGGATAAAGGGAGTATCACTCTTTTTTAATAACATCCATAACAATATTCCTCAATTTCATGTTTTTAATACATTTTCTACCAACAAATGGTGGAAATTCAAACTCTATATAAATGCTCAGCATCCAAATTTCCAAATTCATGAATCTAAGCTAAATTCTCAATTCTAGTTCATAATCTTGTTACACAGTGAAAGGAACTCAAATTCATAAATTTTGAGGTTAGAAATTGTCCAAACCAAAGCTAAATTTGGCATACAACAAATTCAACTTTACCCATATTACCATTTGGATATACAATTTGTAGGACCTAAATTTAGTAATTTGGTCAAATTAGACCTCAATGAGTTATAATTCAATGGTTTTCTCTCAAAAGACTAAGCGAAACTTGGCATAGGTTGACTAATTTAGTAAATATAAAAGAACGATTAGACTAGTGGTGTATACATGACTTTGCATAAGTTGTGTAAGTCAAAACTCGATGAGCAGGGCGACAAGCCCCTAACAAAGGGAGTGGTCACATCGAGTATGTCCCTCTTATTCCCAACATGCTATAGCAACCCGGAGTTGCTAGGAGCGGGTCAAGTCTTATCAAATCTACTCAACGAGGAGCAGTACGGACATAGATGATATTAGACCCCTCTTTTTGTATCACTAGGGATGCTTAACGTCACTTTGTCAATTGGCATTACCAGCACTCTATCCTAGTGAACAATGTTCCACTTATTAGGCAGGGACAGGATTCGAACATGCAATTTTCGAGTCTTGAGCCTGATGAATTGACCAATTTTTCTACCCCATATTCTCTTTCTTTGCTGTAAAGTGGATGTGGTTTCGAACTACACAAGGATTTTCAGTCCAACTGAGCTACATGAACCACTTTGAAATAATTCTCCCTTCTTTTGCATGTACACAAACCTATTCAAAAGTTCTTCAACTGCACTTGTCAGTCAAAACTCGAAGCAGCCTGAGTTTTCTTGCAACTACTATGCGTCAAAGAGTCGCCCTACCAAACCCCACTAAAACTAACTGATGAAATACAAACACCTGGAACTGTTTTTCTTGCATATTTACACCACATTGCAAATGGAAAAACTGCTAGGATCAGGTCTATGTATGTTTATCCAGTTAAGAGTGAGACAAGGATACTGAAATCTGTTTCTTATCTCTGAGACTGAACTAGCATTTTCAACAAAGCTGTTGAACTTGGCATAGGTCATCTTTGAATGTCACAGCTGAAGCTTACTCATATTCTGTTTGTAATTTCCATTGCTTATGACAGATCCTCGAGGCTGAAAAAGATATACTTTCTTCCTCTAGTAGATTTTTAGGCATTTTCTCAAATTGCAGAGAAACAGATTGCCTTTCATCGCTAGTGTATAAGAACAGCTTATCTGCAAGACACCTTTCACATGTCCTGAGGGAAGCGAACTGACATGTTGAGATTGCAGTTCTAAAACTATTCAACGAAAGAAAGGTAATACACTGAAAAACACCAGAAAAGGACGTAAGATAATAAAGACAGGAAAGAATCAAGGCACAGTATTCATTGTTTTAAAGAAGCCAAACAGAGAATTAAGTTTAATCAGAGGGAGGGCGACAAAGAGGTGAAAGTGCAAAATTGCAATAGTGTAGCAATTTGTTCTATACACATATATCTTACACTTGATACTTGAGTTGAACAATCCCAAAAGTAGCTTAATTAATATAATATGTCTAAATAATGAAACCAACTAGGTTAAGAAAAACCAGACAGAATGAATAGTACTAACAAAACAAACAAAAATATGTCACCAAAGATAGTTCATGGTCTACATTGCAAAAGACCTTCCTTGTTTTTCTGTTGCCGTGCTAAAAGTAATTTGCATCTTTGAATCAACTGACTCGTTTGTGATAAGACAATACAAAAAAGTATGAAGCATCCTTGTTCACAAATACTTGTATGCATACAACGGTCCATAAAAACTATTGACTTTTTCTCTTTTGGTGTTATAGACAAAGAATGGTTTAACAACAAGAAGAAATAAAGGGAAGTTACTCTCTTTCTAGCAGTTTTGTGAGGTAATGAAAATTCACCTGGCTATCATAGGGCATCACAATCCATCAAAACCTAACATCATCTTCATCAATTTATCCAAAATTGCATTAGTTCGAATCCATCTTACAGCATCATTCACAAGCCAGGGGAAACTTGCGCCGATCCATTCAATACTATTCACAGGGTAATTAACTTATGGAATGAAATCCACCTGCTAAAAGGCAGTTACAGATGGTAGTCTTTGGCGCTCTGATTAAATGCATCACTTCCTGGCCTGAGGTTTCGAGCTCCTACTTAAGCTACCAATTAGTGAAGTATAAGTAGCATAGTTATGAACAAGCCCCATTTCACCATGTAGCATATCATAATCATCAGGATTTCCATACTTGCAATGCCCATCCAATAGTATGTTATAGGTAATGTCATCCAGATTCAAACCAAGATTAAGCATGGCTTGTAATAACATTTCAGCATTTGTCATCTGTCCTTGTCTGCATAGACCATTTAAAAGCGCATTGTAAGTTATAAGATTAGGTGCATGTCCATTACTTTGCATCTGCCTTAGCAACTTAAAACCCATCTTAACATCTCCCTTCTTACAGAAACCGTCGATAACCATAGTATAAATAGGGTCATCAGGCTTTACATCAGAATTCAACATTTCCGTTAAAATCCTTTCTGCATCAACTATTCGTCCTTGCAGACACAAACCTGTGATAAGAGCGGTATATGCTACATCATCTAGTTCAATGTCGTTATCAGACATCATTTTCTTGATCTCAAATGCTCCATCTAAATCTCCCTCTGCACAGCATCCACCAATAACCGTCGTGTATGTGATCTTATTAGGCTTCAAACCCTTTTCAATCATTACATGAATGAGCTTCCTCGCTTCCCCTAAATCCCCACTCTTACAAAGTCCATTGACAAGTGTGTTATATGTAATCAAATCCGGTTCCACCCCTTGCGTCAGCATCAGTTGATAGGCATCCATGGCCAAAACAATGCTGCCATCTTTGCAATGGCCATTAATCAAAGTCGTGAATATAACAACATTCGGAACCAAACCTTTTACACACACCTCATTAAACAACTCATTTGCGTCCCTCATCCAAAGGTTCTTGTAAAGCCCGTTGATCAGAGCACTATAAGTATAAACATCGGGCAAAATTCCTCTTTCCTCCATTTCTCTTGTTAACCTATACCCTGCATCCATATCACCTAATCTACAATACCCATTTATCAAAATATTGAAACTAACAACACTAGGTCTCAAATTCCTCTTCCACATCTCCGTAGACACCGACCGTGCTTCCACCATTTTACCTTCCTTACACAACTTACTCATCAAAACATTAAAAAAATACAAACTTGGAGGATACCCATATTCCAAAATCTCCTTATAAAAATCAAAAGCTACCATTGGTGAATTAAGCTTNAGTGCTCTTCTTGAGATGGTCATTGTGAACATTTCTGAAGTGTTTGGTTAAGGTCGAGGAAAGAAAAAAAGAGCTATAAGAGTAAATGACAAAAATGGTTAAGCTTAAAATAGTTTGACAAAAATAGGATAATTACCGGCTAATTTCTAAATTGTATTTATGAGAATGGCTATTTGTGCAATTGACCCGATCATGTGATATTTGTACATCATATCCTTTTACAATTTTGAATGCCCCTTTATAATTTTAAATTTAAAAAAATGACTTTTTTAGATTTCTTATGTGTAAAAAGATAGATCTCTTACGTGTAAAAATAAATCTTTCGTGTGTAAAAAATGAGGTAGGGTCATAAAACTAAAAACAAGTTTATAAAGAGTCAAAACACCAAGTGAACCCGATCATTCACCGTACACGAATAAAATAATTAAGATTGTCTCTCTTTTTCATTTATATTATCTGTCCTTTGACTAGTGGTGAATACGCTCCACTTTCAACCAAGAGGTTGTGAGTTTGAGTCACCCCAAGAACAAGGTGGGGAGTTCTTGGAGGGAGGAAGCCGAGAGTCTATCGAAACAGTATCTCTACTCTAGGGTAGGAGTAAGGTCTGCGTACAAACTACCTTCTTCAGACCCCACTAATGGGATTATACTGGGTTATTGTTGTTGTTGTGTTGTTGTATCTGTCCTTTGACTCTACTGCTTTAAACCACTGACAGATCAAACCCCACATATGAAAGCATTTATCATAGTTAGCTGCAGAAGATATCATTCAAATTTCAAGTAATAATTAAAGTAGCAACTTGTCACATGTTATATTGTATGCATAAACATAGAATTAAATTATTAGACATATTTTCATATATTAAGATATTATTTATTCATTGTTTTTACCGTTTTTTAATTGTATTTTATATTGTATATGTCCAACTTAGCTTGATTATTGAGTTTATATTAATCGGGTGTTCATGTCATTGTTAGGAGCAATTAAAAATGATTTTTGAGACAATTAAAGAAAAAATGGAAAAGGAAAAGATTCCTAAGAGTTTAGTCAATTAGGTGGAAAAAATAACGTCACCTATGATCCTAGTGTTGGCAATGGAAGTGTGAAAGGCATCAAGCTTGGATAATATGGACAAAGAATCGTGAAGGATTAACGTGGATGTCAAAAAAGCAGCAAATTGAAATGAGATGAATGTAAAAGTTTGGCAGAAAACGTACTGGATCCAGCGCCAGCCCAAGCGCGAGGCGCTGGTCTGCACCCTGCGTAGCGGGATTCTCCTATTTTGTCCGGGATAATGTTATTTCGATCCTACACGACTCCAACTCGTATAAAAGGGATTTTAAACTTAATCTGGAGGAGATCTAGCATACTTTGAAGGGGAATTCACGCGGAGGAACTCACAACATGCTTGGAGTAGGCTTCTAACTAGTTTTTCTTCTCTACTCTTCCTTTAATCTCATAGTTTATTATTTCTAGAGTTTTGGGTGCTACATGAACGTTGTAGTTTGAAACTTGAATTGTTCATATTATTTTATCATATTGGTTTATTTATCCAATCTTGCGCTTAATTATTTGATTGCTTGATCACCAATTGAATACTATCTATGAATCTAGGATTGAACTCGGAAGAAAAAATTCTAGATTGCATATAAGAATGAGTAGAGCAAGATCTTAACTCTGAGGGGAGGGGGGAGGGGGCGGATTTGCGGTTAGGACAGGAATATATCTAATCGTCAAGCTTGGTTACTATACAGGAATTATTAATGCGTTCTTGTTAATTCTAATTCAATAGGAATATAGGCATTATATTAGCTTGAATAGGCGAGTAGTACTTCGAGAGAAGGTTACGAGCAATATTAACTCTGTCAACCAATAAACTAGATAAATCAATTAGACGATTTAAGTGGAAAACTCAACGGGATTGTTAGCTAACCCATAGCTCTAGAATATTCAGTCACATTGAATTCGTCTTTAAGCTTGTCGTTATTTTCTTTAATCTCTTAATTTGTTGCTCTAGATTAATTTTAGTTAAATATTTATACGTTAGGATTTGCTTGAATAGATTAATTCTTTGGTTTAATTTAGTTGATAGTTAATTACAAGTCCTTATGGGTACGATATATGGACTTATAATCTTATATTACTTGTCGACCACATAAACTTGCATGTGCGTTTGGGAGCAACAACCATTCATACAAGTTGCAACAAATCCATAAGTAGGGAAGCTAGTGCGCTGCATACGTGAATAAGTTCAGCATAATTCAGTAACTTGGCTCAAACCTTGTATTTCGTTAAAAAAAAAATTATTTAATATATACAAATAAGTTATCAAGAATGCAGTAAGCTATCTTATCTATAATCCAGAACGCATAAACTTTAAATTCTAGCGTGTCTCTATTCATAAGTCTTTTAATTTTTAAAAATAAGGAAACGACAATAAAACCAACAACTTGAACCAAACAGAGTTAGAGAAATTACATATATATTTTATTTATATTTGAAGTAGCATTCTTGAGCCGGGAATCTTCCGAAAATAACTTCTCTACTTTCATAAGGTAGGGATAAGGTATACGTATATATTTCGCCTCTCAAGATTCCACAATGTGAGAATACACTGGATTCTTTGTCTTTTGTTGTTGTTGATATATTTGAAGTAGCAAAACAACAGAACCATTATTAAATATTTCTCCAAGCATTATAACCCACCTTAATAACAACATATTCAAAATTTAATTTCTAAACACATTCAAATAAAAGCCTCTAAATTGGATCTATCAAAATACTACGCAAGTTAGGCCTATACATCACAAATTATCTGCAGGGTGGATAGACATCTCTATCATTGATTAGAAGTCTTGGGTTCGAATTTTGCAAAGAAACTTCTGGTAGAGAACACTTTCCTTTTAACAGATATTGTATCGTGCGAATCCAGTTAGTTGAGCCAGTAAACTTCAGATAGCGGATGACTAACTTGAAACTTCGAGCAACAACGAACCAACTAGACATGCTTTCTCCATGGCCGGCAGGAGGCAAACTTCACCACCGGCGCCGGTGAATAATACTTTTCCGGCTTCTGTGGATTGCTGAAAGCTCTTCTCTCCACTACATCATGTGAACTTGAACCACACTTGTTCATTATCATCCTATATCTAAACAACAACCCTTTAAATTTATTGATCTTTTTCTCACTATTATTCTTTTTCTCAAGAATATTCTCATGATAAGCAGCATGACTAGTTTCTATATATTGATTTAACTCCCGTGAGATTCTGTCAATCTCATACTTATCAAGAAGGGAAATATTATTAGTACTATTACTAGTAGTACTAATTAATTGTATTGGAACAAAAACATTATTTGGTGACTCTTGTATTTCTTGAACTTCCTTAATAACTTGTAACTTGTACCTTGATGGTTCTTGTGCCTTTTTATTCCTTGAAAGCCGATCCTCGAGGTCCAGTAAAAAGTCACTCCTCATCCCAATCTTATTAAAGGAGGAAGTAAACGGATCAAGGTTTTTACGTACTTCTGTTATGGAGGGCGCGGGAGAATATTCGCGACCATTGGAGAGTGATCCTTGTTGATACAAAGCCCATGCTGCTGCTTTCACTAGAGCTAAATCGTCCATAGGAGTACTGGATTTCGATGGTTTTGTTTTGTTGAAAGAGAAAGGAAATGACGATGACATGTTTTTTCTTGAAAGAAGAAGAAGGGAAGAAAGAGAGTATTTTTTTTTGGATTTGGAATACTAAAAATTCCGTGCTTTTGTATATGAGGAAGTAGTTGGTTGCTTTCGGTGTTAGTGCAAAAATCAATCAATAACTTACATATAAATGGTCTAGAATAAAACTATATAAATCTAGTAAAAGGTGCACGTGTCCATCGTCTACTTTGGCTTTTGAAATTAAATTTTGGACATACGAGAATAGAACTCTATTCTGTATTTATATCAGGAGGGTTGAATTATGGGGATGAAATATTTCTAAGTCATACATGAAATTCTTATGCGTACACTAGGTGTATGTATATATATTAACTATATTTTCAATGTATCTGACCGTCCATTTAGGTGTATATCATTAAAAAATTTAATTGTAGATAGTGAGATACTGAGGAGCGGATCTATGGGATTAAACAAATTCACCAAATAAAAATAAAAAAGGTAGTCCGATGTACAAGATATCCCGCATCCACACATGGTGCGGGAAGGGCCACACCCCAAGAGGTGTGATATAGACAGTCTACCCTAATGCAAGCATTAGTAAATGCTTTCACGACTTGAACCCGTGACTTATAAGTCACACGAAGACAACTTCACCGCTTCTGCCAGGCTCCCCTTCAAATCCACTAAATGTATAAGAATATTTAGCTCAGAACCTGATCTGCTATTTCGGTTATTATTATTTATTAATTTAAAATTATTGTATGAACCCATAAACTTTAAATCTTAGATCCGCATCCGAAAATACTTTGAAGTATTGTCCAAAAAAAAAAAAAGCCTCATATTTCCGTTATACAGGATAGAGCTGGGGCCTGTGATATGTGTATATGTTAAATTTGAGTGAGTCATTTAGGGGCCCTAGAATGACTTTGTTAGGTAAGAAAGTAATGATATATTAAGGGTTCTATGAATGGTTTGAATTTTTCAGTGGTCACTCTGAATCTATTTATGAAGTTATATATTTAATTCTCAATGATGATAGATTTTTGGTTTACGTTGACTTTTTACAATACAAAAAAAAAAAGTTTCATCGACTCACTGTTATATATTATTCCCTTCGTTTTAGAAAAAAATAAAGAAGTTTGGAGACTGAAAGTTAAACTTTCTAATTCTCGATCTCAAATCGAACATCATTTTTTTAAAAGTCTTTTTTAGAATAAATTTTATTCTTTTATTTTAATTTTTAAATCCAATTCGCTCCAATAGACTGGCTTGCATGGTTCTATTGTCAAAGCAACTTCGTCACTTCCGTGTATCGGTTCCTTAGGACCGATTCAATCTGTGTAGATTGATTGAATGCAA